TAGAAATAAAAATAAGTTTGACCTCAAACTTCAAAATTATGATGTATCTTTGCAGTCGATTTTCTGGCAAAACTTTTGCAAGATTTATAATAATTGATCTAGATATATAAATTTATACTGTATTAAAGCTATGGAACAAGTGCATCATTTACACTCTGCATTGTTATTTATATAAACAAAATGATATTCATTACTATAAGAACAAGTTAATTTCGAGCTCAATCAAGGTCATCTCAACATAAATCAGTTTTTCTTATGTTTATTATCAAATTTACTTAATTTTACCTTAACACTTTTCCGTTATTTCTTATCGTTTTATTAAAACAATTTATCATGAATATTGATATGTATTCAAATTTTTGATATAGTGGTCCACTAGAATTTTTGCAAATATTTAGAAAGAAATAAACAGAATAGTGACTTGATGCGGTAATGACACTAATTTTGTATAAAAATATTTCAGTAATTAACAAAATATTTAAATAAATTTAAGGATATATTAATATATTAAGAATGTATTTCAGAATGATAAAGCAGTTCAATTAGTTATGCAAGCTGAAAAATTTTCTTGGCATCTATTAGATGCAAGTGCATATGATCATATAATTAATTGGTATGTTATGAGTTGTGATTCAAGAATTGTTCTTCAGGTAGACACTGACCAATGTTATCCTATAGATGTTGCTATAAATAAGTATGTATAAATCCGTTTTATTAGTCTAGTTTTAATAAATTAATTACATTCTAATAAGTGTTATCCAACAGTTTGTTGAAGGTAGCAGCAGGCTATGATCCTGCTATAAGTTGTTTTCATCCAACTACATTAAAAAAGAGGCAACTATATATACGATCTTCAATAAAATTATTGATTACTTGTACAACTCGACATAAATCTTTATTATCTGCAAATCCAAAAGCATTATACAATACATTATTAAAAATGTTAGACGATATGGAAGCAGTTATTATAAACAGTAAATATAATATGTAAACATATAATACTTTATACTTGTAGAGACACTGATGAATTACCGTAATTTTTAGCTGTTTCAGAATCACAACAAATTGCAGAAGCAAGTTTGCTAATAACTGAATTACTCTATACTATGAACCAAAGTGAATATCTTATGGAACATCTTCGTAGTAGTTGGACATCATGGCTAATGAAAAGAACAGCTCGCAATCCAATTTTAATGAGTATACTTAAAGTCATTACTACAACTATTACTTCATCATCTATACTTGGAGAACTCATGGAAGCTGCATTAGAAGCATATTTTAAATTTGATTGTAAGTAAAATAAATATAAATAGTTTTTAATAATCTTTAAGTATTAAAAAATTAC